TCATTCTACAAAGCCAGAATTATCCTAATTCCAAAACCAGATAAAGACACTACAAAAAAAATTATAGGGCAATATCACTGATGAGCATAGATGCTAAAATCCCCAATAAACATTAGCAAACTGGATCCAGCAATACATTTAAAAGATCATACACCAGGATCAAGTGGGATTTATTCTAGGAATTCAAATGGTACAATAGCCACCAATCAGTAAACATGATACACCACATAAACATAATGAAGGACAAAAAAGCACATGATTATATCAATAGATGTAGAAAAAGTATTTGATAGATTCCAACACCCACGTATGATAAAAACTAAAAGTGATAAGGATCATATATGACAAACCCACAACCAACATCATACTCAATGGACAAAAACAAAGAGTGTTTCCCTTAAGATTGCAAACAAGACAGGGATGTCTGCTTTTACCATTCTTGTTCAACATACTACTAGCCATAGCAATCAGACAAGAACACAAAATAAAAGGCATCCAAATTGAAAAGAAGTAAAACTATCATTATTTGCAAATGATATAATACTGTATATAGAGAACTCTAAAGATTCCACCAAAACACTGCTGCAACTGATAAATCAATTCAGAAAAGTCACAGGACACAAAATATACATCTAGATATCAGTTGCATTTTTACACCAGTAATCATCAGAAAGGGAAACTAAGAAAACAATCTCATTCACAATTGCTTCAAAAGAGTAAAATACTTAGAAATAAATTTAACCAAGGATATAAAAGACCTGTACTCAGAAAATTATAAGACACTGAAGAAATACTGGAGAAAGTACAAATAAGCAGAAGCATATATTGTGTTCATAGATAGGGAGAATTAATATCAAAATGTCCATACTATCCAAAGCAATCTATAGATTCAAAATAATTTTTATCAAGATACCAGTGGTTTATTTCAAAGAACTAGGACAAATATTTCAAAACTTTATATGGAACCAGAAATGACCCTGAATAGCAAGAGTGATCTTGAGAAAGAAGAACAAGGTTGTAAGAATCATGCTACCTGATACCAAACTTTAGTACAAGGCCATAGTATTCAAAACAGCATGATACTGGTATAAAAACAGACATACAGATCAATGGAACAGAATAGAAATCCCAGAAATAAACTCATGTCTTTATAGCCAATTAATATTTGACAAAGAAGGCAAAAGCATGGGGTAAAGAGGGTCTGCTCAATAAATGGTGTTGGGAAAATTAGACAGAAGTGTGTTAAAATGAAACTAAACTACCTTTTTATACCATACACAAGAATAAAGTCAGAATGGATTAAAAACTTAAATGTTAGACTCAAAACCATACAAATCCTAGAAGAAAACATAGGCAGTAAAATCTCAGACATTTCTCATAGCAACATTGTTTCTAACATATCTCCTCAGGCAAGGGAAACAAAAGAAAAAATAAACAAATGGGGCTACATCAGACTAAGAAGTTTTTGTACAGCGAAGGAAATCATCAACAAAATAAAAAGACAACCCACTAAATGGGAGAATATATTCACTAATGATATATCTGGTAAGGGGATAATATCCAAAATTTATAAAGAACTTCTACAACTCAACATCCAAACCAAACATTCCAATTAAAAAATGGGCAAAGACCTGAATAGATACTTCTCCAGAGGGAACATACTGTTGGCCAATAGACATATAAAAATATACGCAATGTCACTAACTGTCAGAAAAATGCAAATTAAAATCACAATGATATATTACCTCATATCTGTCCCAATGAGTATCATAATCAATAACAAGAAATGTTGGCAAAGATGTGGAGAAAAGGGATCCTTAGTGCACTGTTGGTGGGAGTGCAGATTGGTAGAGCCACTGTCAAAAGTAGTATGGGAGTTTCCTCAAAAAAATAAAAATAAAAAACTATCATACGACACAGCAATGCCACTTCTGAGAATTTACCCAAAGAAATCCAAACACTAATTTGAAAGAATATATGCACCCCTATGTTCATTGAAGCTTTATTTACAATAGCCAAGATTTGGAAGCAATCCAAGTGCCCATTGGTATATGAGTGGATAAAAAAGCTATGCTACATTTGCACAATGGAATATTACTAGCCCATAAAAATGGAAATCTTACCCTTTGGGACAGCATGAGTGGACCCAGAGAGTATTATGCCAGGTGAAATAAGCCACTCAGAGAAAGACAAGCACCATATGATTTCACTCATATGTAGAATTTAATGAACAAAATGAACTAACAAGCAAAATAGAAACAGACTCATAGATGGAGAGTAGGCTGACAGCTGTTGGGGTGTGGAGGTTAAGGGGCTGGGGGAATGGGAAAAAAGAAACTCACGGACATGGACAACACTGCAGTGATTGCTGAGGGGAGGGTTCGAGTAGGGGTAGGTAGAAGAAGGAATAGGAGGTATAAATGGTAGTGGAAGGAGACTTGACTTGGGGTGATGAACACACAATACAGTATACAGATGATGTGTTGTAGAATTATGCACTTGAACCTCTATAATTTTGTTAACCAGTGTTACCCCAAGAAATTCAATATAAAGAAAAAATTTTAAAATAAACAAAAAATACAACTTTCCATTTTCTATTTATATACTAGAGTAGCAGCTGCTAGTATATGCTTTAGGCATTTGTTGAGTAACACAATTGACCTTGATCTTTCAGAAAAATCTTTAAAACTGCCCCCTAAAAATCCTGTTTGCAAGTCTAAAAAGCATATTATAAAAATCCCATTTGGTGTCAGTTTACTGTTTTGGTTTTAATAATTTTTATAACTCTCATATTTTAAATTAATGGTTAAGGCTCCATCCCTTACAATGTAACAGGTGTGCCAAAACAAAGAAATATGGCCCAAATGAAAGAACAGATCAAAACTCCAGAAAAAGAACTAAGCAATGAGAAAATAGTCAACCTAGTATATGCAGAGTTTAAAACACTGGTAATAAAGATGCTCACAGAAATGATTGAGTTCAGTCACAGAATGAAGGAAAAAATGAAGGCTATACAAAGTGAAACAAAAAATATATACAGGGAACCAACAATGAAGGGAAGAAAACCAGGACTCAAATCAACAATTTGGAACAAAAGGAAGAACATCTAACCAGAACAGAATGAAGAAATAAGAATTTTTTTAAAATAAGGAGAGGCTGAGGAACCTCTGGGACAATTTTAAATGTTCTGACATCCAAATCATAAGGGTGCCAGAAGGAGGAGAGGAAGAACAAGAATTTGAAAATTTATTTGAAAAAATAATGAAGGAAAACTTCCACAGTCTATCAAAGGAACTAGACATGCAAGTTCAGGATGCTCAGAGAGTCCCAAAGAAATTGGATGCAAGGAGAAACACACCAAGACACATCATAATTACATCACTCAAGATTAAAGATAAGGAGAGAATCTTAAAAGCAGCAAGAAGAAAGGAAAGAGTTACATACAAAGGAGTTCCCATAAGACTATCAGCTGATGTCTCCAAAAAACCTTACAGGCAAAAGAGGCTGGAAAGAGGTATTCGAAGTCATGAAAGGCAAGGTCCTACATCCAAGATTACTCTATCCAGCAAAGCTATCATTCACAATGGAAAGGTAGATAAAGTGCTTCCCAGATAAGGTCAAGTGCAAGGAGTTCATCATTACTAAGCCCTTATTATATGAAATGTTAAAGGGACTTATCTAAGAAAAAGACAATGATCAAAAACTATGAACAGTAAAATGACAACAAACTCACAACTATCAACAACTGAACCTAAAAAAAACAAAAACAAACACAAACTAAGCAAACAACTAAAAAAGGAAAAGAATCACAGAAATGGAGATCATATGGAAGGTTAACAGCAGGGAGGGGGAGAGGGGAGAATGAGGGAAAAGGCATAGGGAATAAGAAGCATAATAGACAGGGAGAGGTTAAGAATAGTATAGGAAATGGAGAAGACAAAGAATTTATATGTACAACCCATGGGCATGAACTAAGATTGGAGGATGGGGGATACTAGAGGGTGGAAAGGTGCAGGGTTGAAGAGGGATAAAGGGGAAAAAATGGGACAACTGTAATGACATAATCAATAAAATATACTTTTAAAAAAGTTAACCATAGCCCTGGTTGGTGTGGCTCAGTGGATTGATTGCCAGCCTGAGAACAAAAGGGTCACTGGTTCGATTCCCAGTTATGGCACATGCCTAGGTTGAGGGTCAGGTCCCCAGCAGGGCTGTGAGAGAGGCAACAACACATTGATATTCCTTTCCCTCTCCCTCCCTTCCCCTTTCTCAAAAAATAAACAAAAAATAAAATTTAAAAGTGTTAAACATAGAATTACTATAAAAATTAATTAACTAATTAATTAATTAATGGTTAGGAAAAATATATGTCTAAATCTCATCTCCACCATTCACAAAGTCTCATAAAATCAAGTTGGTTTTCCTGCCAAAATCAAACCAGTCTTTACAAAACCCTAAAACAACTACAAATATCCTAGAAAATTTCTGTTAAACTTCTGCCTCCTTGCAAGGTAAAGACTTAAGTGAACTCTACTGGGAACATTCGATAGTAAAGTTAGAGGTTCTGTGTGAACCATTTATTTCCATTCTTTGGGCAAAACCAATGCAGATTAGGCTTGTGTCATTTTGGAGCTTATTTTAGAAATTTCTGTAGGATGGCTTTATAGCTACCACATATGAAATGACTGAGGGAAAAGGAATTTTAAAATAAAGAAAATATGTTGAAAGATAATAGTTTAAATGATGCAGAGACTATTGGATTATATTCAAATATTCAAGAATGAGACACAAATTGCTGACTACATGGTTAATTTCATTTAACATTAATAGTGTAATCAAGTATGTTTTTTCAGAATATATTTTGCTCATACAGTTTTGAAATCTCAATACTGAAAATTGTAAGGATTCATTTTCAAATAATAGACCATCCAAGGATTTTTATTCAAAATAATACTGAAAATAAACAAAAATATTATAGTCTTTACACATCTTTCTAACAGCCTGTTCAAACTGCACATGACAAGAAGACTAAAGGAAACAGCAGGAGGGCAAGAGTCTGGCAGCTCAGGAACCTAAACCCAAGAGTCATGGAAGATACTGGAAAGACAGCTCAGCACCAACAGATGTTCATCGTTGTGTCTCCATGTTCTCATTTCCAATTCCCAGAAGAGAGAACTAGCCCAGTATGTTCGTGGTATCAATTCCTTGTTTAGTAAGTCCTGGCCATTCTGTAGGTTGTGAAAGAATCTTTTTTTTTTAATTGATTGATTTGAGAGAGCAAGAGAGAGAAATTTGTTCTACTTATTTATATATTTATTGGTTGATTCTTGTATGTGTCCTGACTGGGGATCAAATGCTCAAACTTGGTGTATCAGGATGACATTCTAACCAACTGAGCTACCTGGACAGGGCTATAAGACAGTGTTAAAGGAGTTGTCCAGATATGTTTTGAGCAACTGCAGCTTTGAATCAGCATATGGGCATTCCAAAGCAGTGCTCAAAGGAAGCAGCCCTGATTTAGGTGTTTGAGCTCTGGCATTTTCATATCTATCACAAGCTTTATACAGGCATCCTTCATTTTGTTGTGCTTTGCTTTCTTGCACTTCACAGACAGTGTGGTATTTTTACAAACTGAAGGTTTGTGTCTACTCTGTGTCAGACAAGTTCATTAGTGCCATTTTTACAACCGGCTCAGGTGCTGGTTCCTTTAGCAATGAAGATTTTTTAATTAAGATATGTACAATGTTTTAGACATAATACTATTGCACACTAAACAGACTCCAGTATTATGTCAACCTAACTTTCATAGGCAGTAGGAATCCAAAAATTTCATGTGACTCACTTTATTGCTGAGATCTAGAACTGAACCCACAACATCTCTTAGTTATGCCTATCAATGCATCTCAGAGATAAATCCACACATCTCCTCTTTTTATTCCTTATTTAGCAAAGTTCTGTGGATAGGCCTCACAACAACTAAAGTCTGGAGTCACCAGACACACCCCACACCCCAGGGGACATGGGTGGACTGTGAAGTTTTTGTGTCACTCCCCAATCTCTTGAGGCCAGCCAATGACCATCCAATAAGCCAGACACACCTGGACATGAATATTTTTATCTATAAGTCATCAGTAAAAGTTGCTCAAGGTTAGGCAAAAATAGTTGAGCAAAATAAGACCAAATGAAAAGAGTGAAACATTACTGGGAAGAAATTATCAAAGCATTTGGTATTACCAACTTTACATATCTCCCGATTTTGGAGTAAGTCTGCTCTCTCCAAGTCTTTAAGTTGAATTTAGCCTCATTTTATTTAAGACTTTCATCTGTGACCTTTTACCCAGAAGTCACATGTGCAGAAGGATATATTTTTTGAAGTTTTCAGTTGAAGAGAGAGCTTTATTACCATCAGCACCTTCCAGAAAGGACATATACTTAATTATACAGACACTTTTGTTTCTGGCTTGAAAAATGAGCATATGCTCAGCAAATAAAGCCAGGTTGTACTGCTTCATTTTTTAATAGCTGCAAACTGACTATTTTTAACATCTTAATAGTGTCATTAGGTCTATAAGATTTCCCTTTCCTGGAGCTGCAATTTTAGTAAAGAAAACCAGGGATCTCCCATCACTTGTTGGCTCCTGGAGGAGTCCAGGCTTTAGGGGCCATTCATTATCCCATGTGCATTCCTTTTTTATTTAACATTTTTTATTGCTGTTCAAGTACAGTTTTCTGCCTTTCCCCCCCCTACTCCCTACCGCCTCAGCCCTCACCACCTCCTTCCCCTGTTTCCACACCCCCTTGTTATTGTCCATGCGTCCTTTATAATTGTTTCCGAAACCCTTCGCCCTTTTCCCCCATAATCCCCTCCCCGCTCCCCTCTGGTCGCTGTCAGCCTGTTCTCAATGTCAATGTCTTTGGTTTTATTTTGCTTGCTTGTTCATTTTGTTGGTTAGGTTCCAATTAAAGGCGAGATCATATGGTATTTGTCTTTCACCACCTGGCTTATTGCACTCAGTTTATACTCTCCACTTCCATTTTACAACTTGAGATAGCCAAGGTGAAGATGTGCAGAGTGTGAGGGATAGGAAACAAAGGAAGGTCTCCTGGGCACCATGCCCATTAGCCTGGGCCAAACTGGGAGATAACAGTGGTCTTCCTTTCTCTCTCTCTTTTTCCCCATCCCTCTCACCTTACCCCCTTCTCCAACATCCCCATGTTACGAGGTGCCCCTGGGCACCTCATTGTCATTCTGGCCTGGTTTCTCCCATCAGAAAAAAATTAAGTTCAAATTTATTTGCACTTAGATGTCAAAATTAATATATTTCTCCTCACAAAATTTACTGGGAATGCTAACATTATATCCAAATGAATGAACTCTAAGTAGTGTAATTTGAGACATGTGAAATTTGAGTAGGTGAGGGGCATGTCCTTTGGGCCTGTTTCTGGCCCCTTCTCAGAAGTCACACTCAAGCCTTGTCCAAATCCCAGCCCCACCTGGCATTGGTGTCTATTGCTGATCAATCACTGAGAAGCTGCAGCATTGCTGATGTCCCCCATTCACTTCAAAGCCTCCTCTTTTTTCCATGCAGTCTTGGCCAAAGGCCAGGTTTAATTCTACCTGACTCACCCATCAGAAATTGGCTGAGTATTCGATACATAAAATCACAAAAGTTGGGGGGTAATCAGGGCGGCAGACGGCTCATCACATTTTCACATTCTCTCACTGAGTCAAGTTCGAGAGCTCACAGTCCTTCAGCTCATACCCAGATGCAAGAACCATTCTGGGGAGCCCAAGTGCCAGATGGGCTCTTCCTTCCTAGAAGCAAGACTGAAGGGAGTAAAAGAGTGGCAAATGGTGACATCTGGTGGAAATTTAAGCACTACAAGCTTTCAAACATAAAATTCATGGCTCAGGTGTAAACAAAATCTGATTACTTGAAAACATCCTTTTTTCCAATTGAAAGAGTCCAGTAATGCACAACCTTTTGGTGTACCCAGATGCACCAAAAGGATGGTGCCCAGGCTGTATGAAGACATAAAAAGCAACGTCCTTAGAATGGCAAGTACTGCTTTTATGATTCAGGTTCAAGTTGGGTTTAATTCTCTGAATTTGGTTCTAGCACCTATAAAATTAAGACAATAATGCCTGTCATATAATTTTATTAGTTTTTTTAATCAGATACTTTGAGTTAAAAAAAAAAAGGCCAATTTGCATGCATGGATCCAGGCTTCCCATTCATCCTGCACTGCTGTCCTGGCGACCCCCTAGAACCCAAGTACTTTGTTTGCAGCCAGTTTATCCCACAGCAGTTGTTAATCTACTTGTTTTTATCTAGAAGTGGGGCTTCACACCTGTTGGGCACATACAACATTGATTGGCCAGTTGATTATAGATAGGAATGCATTATTTCCCTGCTTTATTCCCATCATGTGAGTAAAACCTTAAAGATACTAAATCCTCATGACCTCTTTAAGCTAAAGTCACTGTTAAAATCTTTCTTTAGCCAAATGTCTCATGTGCCTTAAAGGAAATTAATGATAGTTATGAATCCTGAAAGGCTCCAAAATGTGTAATTTCAAGGCAGTACCAAACCCCAGTCTCCTCAAGAAAAACACCCCTTTTAAAATGCCAAGCAAAGCAATTTAATTCCATTAACTCCAACTCAAAGAAATCAGTGACTACTCACAAATTCTCCTGGCAGCCAGGCCAGAGAGGGAGAAAGCTTTAGAATATTAAGGCCCCTTGCAGCCTAAGTGAGGCTCACACAAAGCTGGGTTTATTAAATAACACTGGAAAAGCCACAAAGCCCATGCAGCCTTCCTGAGCCCTGTGACAAACTGTCCACTTGGGACGGAACAATGTCTTCCCTTGTTTTTCACATCTTGTGTGTTTATTTTTGTGCTCCAGCAGTGTGAAATGGGAGGATCCGGCCTGGCTAGTGGAAATAAATGGAGTGCAGGCTCTTCAATAAAGATCTTTTTGCATCAGGCCTTCTCTCAACTCCCATTTTAACAAATCCCATTACCATGAGGCTCACACACAGAATTGTGGTAGCTTCTATCCCACAGTTTCTTGTCTATTGGAATTTAAGAAGAGATGAGTTACAATTATTAAAATCATGTCTTTTTATACAACTTTTTATTATGGAAAATGTCAAACATACATAAAATTAGAGAAAAATAGCATAATAAAACCCTAGGTTCCTGTTACCCAGGTTTAATAATTATCAACTCTAGATCATGTCCTTTTTAAGTTCATTGATATAACATATATTGAGTACATGTTGTGTCCCAGTACTGCTTCAGGTTTTTCATACACAGGTCTGAATAAGGCAAAGTCCTGATACTCACAGGACTTAGAGTCTAATTGGAAATTAAACACCACAGCAGAGTACAGGAAGTGCTATCAGTGCTGTGATAAGAGAAAGCAGACAAGCACCCAACCCAACTTGGGAAAACTTTGCAAAAGAAATGGCATCTTAAGCTGAGACTTAAGGACTGTAGGAGGTCCTGGAAGAGAAGAGGAAGAGCCAAATTGGGAAAGGGGCATGATTTGGGCAGAGGGTACAAGGGGATATGACTGGACCTTTGAGTATAAAGGAATAGTGAGAAATGTGCATAAGCAGAGTGCACATCAACAAATGGAAAAAAAAAGGCCTTCATGCCATACTAAGTCCTGTAGAAAAATAAAGAGCCAATTCACATTAGAGGGAGGAAAGTAACATGATCGCTTTTGCCTTTTAGAAAAATCACTCCATCTGCGGGGTGGAAAACAAGTTAGAGTGGACATAGGCTCTGTGTAGGCTCAAGGCAGGAAATGTTTAAGGAGGCTGCTGTAATTTAATTAAGAAAGCTGAAGAAGTCGCCATGGGGATGTTGATAAGTGCATGCTTGGGGAGGCAGGCTGGCTCTAGAGCTCTCCCTGAGGGTTCTGCTCTGCTTCTCTGCTTTAAGTCAGGGCTGGGGATTGTGTAGGTGTGTACATCCCAAAAGAGGGCAATGGAGAATGATTGTGTCAGAGAACGGGCACCATACTGAATCTAGAAGTCTGCTCTGTTAGAAACCCTGGAGACCATCTTCACTAAATTCATTTGTAAAGAATAAAAAAAACCCTGCAGCCAATAAGAGCCCAGACTTACCCAGAATCACACGGGAAACTGGTAGAGTCTGTGTCTCCTGACTC